GGCGCTCGGGTCCCGCCGGGCCGGGGCTTGTATCTTACCCCCTTCGCAAGGCGCTGGGTTCTTGCAGGTGTGGATGTGGTCTGGATGTTGTCCTGTGTCCTGTGGTCTCTATTTTAGGAAGATTTTTCTTTGTTATATTTTCATAGCTCTATGTGTTTTTGGGAGGAGATTTCCACTACTCTACTCACGCCGCCATCCTGGCTCCGCCCCTTCGGGTCTTGTTTTTTTATCCATTCAGTGACTCTGTGTCATTTGATTGGTGCATTCAGTCCATTTACATTTAGGGTGATTATCGATAAGTATGTAGTTGTTGCCATTGCCGACTTTATATTCATGGTTACCAAAGTTTCAAGGTTAACTTCCTTACTATCTAAGAGTCTAACTTAACTCACTTAATATGTTATTACAAACACAACCTAAAGGTTCTTTTTTTTCTCCTTTTTCTTCCTCCTCTTTTCTTTATATATTACATATCATATTCTGTACTTTTTGTCTATCCCTTGATTGACTTTGGGGATAGTTGATTTAGTTTTGCATTTGCTTAGTAATTAACTGTTCTACTTTCTTTACTGTGGTTTTATTACCTGTGGTGACAGCTATTAAACCTTAGGAATCCTTCCGTCTATAGCAGTCTCTCCACAATACAGTGTAGAGACGGTTTGTGGGAGGTAAATTCTCTCAGCTTTTGCTTATCTGGAAATTGTTTAATCCCTCCTTCAAATTTAAATGATAATCTTTCGGGATAAAGCATTCTTGGTTTGAGGCCCTTCTGCTTCATTGTGTTAAAGACATCATGCCACTCCCTTCTGGCCTGTAATGTTTCTGCTGAGAAAACTGATGGTAGTGTGATTGGCTTTCTTTTGATGTGATCTTATTTCTCTCTCTGGCTGCTTTTAATTGTCTGTCCTTATCCTTGATCTTTGTCATTTTAATTACTATATGTCTTGATGTTATCTTTCTTGGTTCCCTTGTGTTTAGAGATCTGTGCACTTCCATGGCCTGAGAGACTATCGCCTTGTGGAATTAATGGGATTAATATGTAAATCAAGTAATACAGAAATCAAATCAAATGTACAAATACACATGACTTGATTGTTTTACCCACAACTCTTTATGTGTCATCAAAAACAGAATGAGAGAGCCAAAGTAGTTCTCATGGCTCTGGGCCTCCCTCACATGGTTTCAGTATCCTTGAGAAGTGTTGTGTCCTTGGGCTAGGCTCAAGGCCAGATAATAATGTTTTAAGTTCATTTTATGTTCATTGCTCAATAAATATGAGAAGTTCCTTTTTGGCATTACTCTTGCTCAGTGAAGCCTCGAGTACCCTGGCTGGTCCTTTTAGATCTTCGATATTTCATTATGTCTCCCCCATTGTCTGCGGGTCAGAAGCAGGGAGGGGACTGGCACTCCTTTCCTAGTTTGGGGAAGTTTTCAGCAATTTTACCTCCTCAAAGACACTTTCTATCCCTTTTTCTCTCTTTTCGTCTTCTGGTACCCCTGTAATATGAATATTGTTCCGTTTGGATTGGTCACAGAGTTCTCTGAATATTCTTCCATTCTTAGAGATCCTTTTTCCTCTCTGTGCCTCAGCTTCTTTGTATTCTTCTTCTCTAATTTCAGTTTCATTCATTGTCTCCTCTACTGTATCTCATCTGCTTTTAATACCCTCCATTGTGCTCTTCAATGATTGGATCTCCAACTGTAATTCATTCCTGAGTTCTTAAATGTTTTTCTGTACCTCCATGAGCATGTTAATGATTTTTATTTTGAAGTCTCTTTCAGGAACATTCATGAGGTCAGTTTCATTTTAATCTTTCTCAGGAGTTGTATTCATAATTTTACTTTGAACCAGGTTTCTTTTGTGTTTCATTTTTGTGTATGGCTCTCTCTAGTGCCCAGAAACTCAACTCTCTCGAGCTGCTCAGCCTCTGAAGCAATGTGGGGGGTCACAGGGGAGCAGTATTGGTGCCTGGGGGAATAAAAGAGCTGTTTCCCGCTTCCCGGCTGCTATGCCTGCTTGCACTGCCAGAGTCAGTGGGCCGAGCACACAGGTATAAGCCTCTATGCTTTGCATTTGTAGTTGCTGTAGACAGATCTTTCCTCTGGCTGGCCTAATGCCATGGTAGGGTTTGCCGGTTTGCGAGCCAGGTGAGGCTGGCTGGGAGAAAAGCGCAGTACGTTGCGTATCATAGAGGGGGTCCTTCGTGCTATGTAGCCATTCTGAGAGCTTAAGCACCTGAAGATCGAGACAGTTCCCAACCTGCTGGGCAGAGTGCACCCAGACAATTTTGTCTACCTGTCCTTTGTCCTGAGCAGTAAGCTCTGTGCAATCCTTGCCACTTTAGCAGCCCTCTAACTGTTAGGAAGCCTCTCAGACTGCCTGCCTTTCTTTTGTCCCAGAGCAACCGAATATGGATCCCTGTTTTCTACAAGCAGCTGAAATCTCAGTCTCTCCAGGTATTCTGCCTGTCTTAGCTTTACAACCCCCTAATCACGAGAGTACCATGAAAGCACCATGTACTGTAGGTTTGTGCTCCCAGAGCAGATCTCCAGAGATAGATATTAAGAAGTTCCAGCCTCCACTCCCTCCCTGCTCTGTTTCTCTTCCTCCTGCTGGTGAGCTGGGGTGAAGGAAGGGCTGGGTCCTGCTGGGCCACAGCTTTGTTACATTACCCTGTTCCGCAAGGTTTATTCTTTTCTCCAGGTGTATGCATTTTGGCACAGCCCTCTTTCATGTTGCTTTTTCAGGATTAGTTGTATTAACTATATTTTTGTATTATATGTGAGGAAGCCTCTGTCTTGCCTCTCATGTTGCCATCTTTAATCCTCTCTCTCTATTTTTTTTAAGTAGAATAAGAGTCCATCCAAATTCAAGTATTCTGGCTTTCTTTTACCTCTGAGAGACCCTGAACTTTCTAGTTCACTCTGTGATGTTTAAAAATTTATGACCCTGTTTGTTATGTGTCTCTTTCTAAGGGCAATCTCCCTCCTAGACTTCCAACTCTCCTAAGGCGGAAGTGGTCTTGTTCAGCTTTGCATCCTTAGACTGCAGTGTGAAGCATGGTGCTGAGTATGTAGTAGGTGCTCAGGTGTTTTCATGACCAGATAAAATATTTTTTTTGTCATTTATTATTTCAGGTGTTCTGTAGAGGAATACTCAAAGAATAAAACCCAGAAAGTTCTGGTACCAAGTCAGTGTAAAACTTCATTTTGGAAAGCAATCTGGGAAATTTCTTGCCCTCTATAAGAAAATGAAATATCTGACTAATATAAAAATTTACTTTATTTAACATGAATATTTCCTTTATACCCAACATAATGGTCCAAAATATTTTATGATCTCTACAGCTGCAGTGAGAAGAGGAATTTGTTTTAAACAGAGGTTGAAGAAACTATAGAATTAGTAGACAAGAGAAAGTGGAGAAGGTAGAGGATGGAGTTGCAGACTCTACAGGAGGCTCTTAAAGTGGAAATTCAGGTTCACCAGGTATGTTACATTATTGGCTTCTCCCGCATCATGTTATTAAGTGATGGCTAAGATTAGTAAAATGGCCTGTCTCTGATTTTCAGTGCAGTTTTTAATCGTCTTTTAGACAGTTGTCGGAGTCATGTCATTTGCATTTTGTCAGTGCTCAACAAACTCATTGATAATATTTTAAGAACTGTAATGTAATGTTCTTGAGTTCCTTCCAGAAGAAAGAACTGAAAATATTTTTTTTATATACCAAAGATGGTTTTTAAAAAAACCCACTTTTTTTTGTATTGTGGTTCATTTGAAGAACTTTGTTCATGTGACTTAACTTGTATATTTTTAATAATGAGACATGTTTCACTTGACTACCATGTATACTGAAGTTTTTGGTCATAATTCAGCTTAATGGCTTGATACCAATCTTCAGTAAAGAAAATGTGATTGCCTTTATAGATGTTTAAGTTTCAGATTTCACAATTCTTGCATTTTACCTCAGATACATAGGTAAATAAACCTTTAAAATATATAAAAATTTAAATATTAAGTGATATGATAAAATAATTGTGTTAATAAAATATGTATTAAGTATGTATATTTTATTTAATAAAACCATAACCAAGACAAAAAGCTATTCTTAAATAACTGAATCATTAACATTACTATATAGACAGTATCACTGTTTTATATCTGTTTTCTATATGTTAGCTGGATGTGGTTCTAGTTTCAAGACACACACACACAAACACGTACAATCCTTGGAAATCAAAAGTGATAAAATGACAATGAATTGACTACGTTTCAGTGTTTGGGGTGTAGGAATAGGGAGAGGAAAGGAACTATTTTTTAAATGTGTTTGTTCTTAGGTATGGTTCCCCTTGTTTTATTTGAATTATCTAATGTAAGAATTTCTGAAAGTGTTGTAGGAATACCTTGGGGTTTTGATAACTACCAAATTTGCAAGTTGGTCAGAATTATGGTGGGTGAGAACTTAAAGGAAAGCTTCAAAGTGCTTATATCTACTTTTTATCTGTGTGTTCGGAAATCCCTGCTGCTGCTTTAGATCTTGTTAAAATCTTGTTCGGCAGTAGTCTTACAGTTTGCCATGTATAGGCAGGCTTCCATAGGTGAAGTGTGTTTTATTTTTATGGGAACTTTTTTTTTTTTCATCTCAGAATTATACTTATTCACATTCTAACATTCCTATTTTTTTTTTTTTGAGAGGGCATCTCTCATATTTATTGATCAAATGGTTGTTAACAACAATAAAATTCAGTATAGGGGGGTCAATGCTCAATGTACAATCATTAATCCATCTCAAGCCTAATTCTCGTCAGTCTCCAATCTTCTGAAGCATAACGAACAAGTTCTTACATGGTGAACGAATTCTTACAGAGTGAATAAATTCTTACATGGTGAACAGTACAAGGGCATTCATCACAGAAACTTTCGGTTTTGATCATGCAATATGACCTATAAACCATCAGGTCAAATATGAATATTCATTTGATTTTTGTACTTGATTTATATGTTGATCCCACATTTCTCCTATTATTATTATTATTTTTATTTTTAATAAAATGCTGAAGTGGTAGGTAGATGCAAGATAAAGGTAGAAAACATAGTTTAGTGCTGTAAGAAGGCAAATGTAGATGATCAGATGATCAGGTGTGTGCCTATGGACTAAGTATTAATCCAGGCTAGACAAGGGCAGCAAGACATCCACGGATGCAGAAGATTTCTCTCAAAGCAGGGGGGGTGAGGTTCTGAGCCTCACCTCTGTTGATCCCCAAATTCTCACCTGATGGCCCCCCTGCGACTGTGCCTGTCTTAGGTTGTTCCTCCCTTGAGGAATCTTACCCGTCTCTGGCTAACCAGTCATCTTCCGGGGCCATACAGGGAAATGTAAAGTTGGTAAGTGAGAGAGAAGCCATATTGTTTGCAAAGGTTAGCTTTTTACTTCTTTGCAGATTTATGCCCTGTGGCTTCTATGCCCAGCACTTGTCTCGAGGTATCTTTACCACCTGGAGGAATTATGATACTCGGTAAATTCGATATGAGGCACGAATTCTATTTAAGGTTTGTAATTAGGAAGGAAGAAGAAAAGCTATAGATGTAGCATATGAAGGAAACTTGGGAGGATTGATTATTTCTTTGACATATCTTCTTGTATAGTACCTTAAGTATGTATAGGTTTTAAACTACTAACTAATTTGCACACACATATTAACATAATAGGAATACGGTGACATAAACAAAGCAAATCTATAATTACCAGCCATCTCCAGTGAAGCCAAGAAAACCATTTAGGCACCCTAGGCATTTGTGAAAATTTATCTATGATATGATGGATATTTTCCAACTGTACTTGAACCATCAGACAAATTAAAGCAGCCCATTTCTGGGATCTGTTCACATCCCATATGTTCTTTTAACCATAGATAGTCTATAGTCATGAGATTTTGGGGTGCTACAACTTGCACCCCTCCCAACTCCTGGTTGAGTTCCAACAGTACAGATCCAGTCAAATTCGTTGTCTCACTGTATGCACATGCCAGCCTAGACATCTCCCTCCTCCTTCTTATGGCAAGTCCAGGAGACGGTGGGCTGGATGCAGCCACAACCGCAGCATCGTCCGGATCCCTGTGGAGGCTTTTTGATGATCATCCCCCGGCACAAGTCCTCCAGAGAGTGCTGATGCCGGAAGCTCCTCCTCATATCGTATCTTAGTTCATTTTCTGGGTATCCAAGCTAGGCCTTGATCTTCTGCATAGAAACAAACAGACCCTTTGCCCACACTTTGACATGCCCTCTATACCACTGTGCAGAACTCATTGGAGGTCAGCACACAGTAACTTTTTTTTTTTTTTTTTTTAATTAAGAGAAAGGAATATTATCAGAAAAGAGTACCTCCATAGCTGATCATCTGACACCCTTTAAGTGATCAACATTAAGGATATTTAAAGCATGCGTTGATCTTTGATTTACCAATAGTTTTATCCTGTTAAGGAGTAATCCCCCTTTTCTTTCTTTCTTTCTTTTTTTTTTTTTAAATTTTTAATCTACACTTACATGAAGAATACTATGTTTACTATGCTCTCCCCTATATCAGGTCCCCCCTAACAACCACATTACGGTTACTGTCCATCAGCTTAGCAAAATGTTGTAGAGTCACTACTTGTCCTCTCTGTGTTGTGCAGCCCACCCTCCCCTTTCTCCCTCCCCCCCATGCATGCTAATCTTAATACCCCCCTTCTTCTTCCCCCCCCTTATCCCTCCCTGCCCACCCATCCTCCCCAGTTCCTTTCCCTTTGGTACCTGTTAGTCCATTTTTGGGTTCTGTAATTCTGCTGCTGTTTTGTTCCTTCAGTTTTTCCTTTGTTCCTATACTCCTCAGATGAGTGAAATCATTTGGTATTTCTCTTTCTCCGCTTGGCTTATTTCACTGAGCATAATACTCTCCAGCTCCATCCATGTTGCTGCAAATGGTTGGATTTTTCCACTTCTTATGGCTGAGTAGTATTCCATTGTGTATATGTACCACATCTTCTTTATCCATTCATCTACAGATGGACATTTAGGTTGCTTCCAATTCTTGGCTATTGTAAATAGTGCTGCGATAAACATAGGAGTGCATCTGTCTTTCTCAAACTTGATTGCTGCGTTCTTAGGGTAAATTCCTAGGAGTGGAATTCCTGGGTCAAATGGTAGGTCTGTTTTGAGCATTTTGATGCACCTCCATACTGCTTTCCACAATGGTTGAACTAATTTACATTCCCACCAGCAGTGTAGGAGGGTTCCCCTTTCTCCACAGCCTCGCCAACATTTGTTGTTGTTTGTCTTTTGGATGGCAGCTATCCTTACTGGTGTGAGGTGATACCTCATTGTAGTTTTAATTTGCATTTCTCTGATAATTAGCGATGTGGAGCATCTTTTCATGTGTCTCTTGGCCATCTGTATTTCTTTTTTGGAGAACTGTCTGTTCAGTTCCTCTGCCCATTTTTTAATTGGGTTATTTGTTTTTTGTTTGTTGAGGCGTGTGAGCTCTTTATATATTCTGGACGTCAAGCCTTTATCAGATCTGTCATTTTCAAATATATTCTCCCATACTGTAGGGTTCCTTTTTGTTCTATTGATGGTGTCTTTCGCTGTACAGAAGCTTTTCAGCTTAATGTAGTCCCACTTGCTCATTTTTGCTGTTGTTTTCCTTGCCCGGGGAGATATGTTCAAGAAGAGATCACTCATGTTTATGTCTAAGAGGTTTTTGCCTATGTTTTTTTCCAAGAGTTTAATGGTTTCATGACTTACATTCAGGTCTTTGATCCATTTTGAGTTTACCTTTGTATATGGGGTTAGACAATGGTCCAGTTTCATTCTCCTACATGTAGCTGTCCAGTTTTGCCAGCACCATCTGTTGAAGAGACTGTCATTTTGCCATTGTATGTCCATGGCTCCTTTATCAAATATTAATTGACCATATATGTTTGGGTTAATTTCTGGGGTCTCTAATCTGTTCCACTGGTCTGTGGCTCTGTTCTTGTGCCAGTACCAAATTGTCTTGATTACTATGGCTTTGTAGTAGAGCTTGAAGTTGGGGAGTGAGATCCCCCCTACTTTATTCTTCTTTTTCAGGATTGCTTTGGCTATTCGGGGTCTTTGGTGTTTCCATATGAATTTTTGAATTATTTGTTCCAATTCATTGAAGAATGTTGCTGGTAATTTGAGAGGGATTGCATCAAATTTGTATATTGCTTTCGGCAGGATGGCCATTTTGACGATATTAATTCTTCCTAGCCATGAGCATGGGATGAGTTTCCATTTATTAGTGTCCCCTTTAATTTCTCTTAAGAGTGACTTGTAGTTTTCAGAGTATAAGTCTTTCACTTCCTTGGTTAGGTTTATTCCTAGGTATTTTATTCTTTTTGATGCAATGGTGAATGGAATTGTTTTCCTGATTTCTCTTTCTATTGATTCGTTGTTAGTGTATAGGAAAGCTACAGATTTCTGTGTGTTGATTTTGTATCCTGCAACTTTGCTGTATTCCGATATCAGTTCTAGTAGTTTTGGAGTGGAGTCTTTAGGGTTTTTTATGTACAGTATCATATCATCTGCAAATAGTGACAGTTTAACTTCTTCTTTACCAATCTGGATTCCTTGTATTTCTTTGTTTTGTCTGATTGCCGTGGCTAGGACCTCCAGTACTATGTTAAATAACAGTGGGGAGAGTGGGCATCCCTGTCTGGTTCCCGATCTCAGTGGAAATGCTTTCAGCTTCTCGCTGTTCAGTATAATGCTGGCTGTGGGTTTATCATATATGGCCTTTATTATGTTGAGGTACTTGCCCTCTATTCCCATTTTGCTGAGAGTTTTTATCATGAATGGATGTTGAATTTTGTCAAATGCTTTTTCAGCATCTATGGAGATGATCATGTGGTTTTTGTCTTTCTTTTTGTTGATGTGGTGGATGATGTTGATGGATTTTCGAATGTTGTACCATCCTTGTATCATTTTTATGGGAACTTTTAAGAAATTTAGTATGTAGTAAGTTAAGCACATCTTATTTTAGTTGGCCTTGCTTCTTGTACTAATTGAGGGTAAAAATCTGTTTATAAAAACGAACTTGTTTTTTTCCTAGACCAAAGTATTTTAACACAGAGGTGTACTGAGTAGCCAGTTTGGTTAAATGGCAAATGGTAACAGTTCACAATTTGTTTAAAGCTGACATCATCGTAGAACAAATTTCTGTAGAGCAATTATCAGTCTGAAAGTTGTATGGATCAAAGATAATTTGATGAAATTGTATGTATTTTTGGAGATACTCCTATTCTCAAAAATTTTTGAGATGGCAAACTTAACATTCTGCTTTTGGTTCCTCCTCACAAGGTATGAACAAGTCCCAGATAAGACTTTTGTGAAAGACTTATGACCTAAGTTGAACTAAATTACTAAAAATTAGAGTTCTCAATATTATTTTGTTTCATTTTTAACTCAAGCATACCAATTTTATAAAAATTATAATTATGAAATATTTAATGCTTATCCTCTTTTAAAATCTAATTTGTTTTATAGTTACACTTGTTGACTCAAAAGTGGTATAATATTCTTCCTAAATTTATTCCAAACACTCTCTTAATATTCACATTAACTTTCTATTTCCCTATATACTTAACATTTATTTTTTAACATAAAATTAATAGCTTTTATTTATTCACCCTTAATTATATTCATCAAAAACAAATGTTTTTGCAGTTGTTTGTGTAAGGAACATTTCCTTATATTTCTTAATATAATTAATGTATAATGTTTTGAATAACATTTATGTTGATTCATAGTATTTTAACATTTACAGCATATAAGATATTTTCACTACAGTTACACTTAGAATACTTAACTATTTTTGAAAAAATAATTTAAATATTAACAGTAAATCCAAGTGACATGCCTTGTTTTTACTTCTGTTGTTATTCTGATTAGACATGTGGTAACCTACCAAGTCTAAGATGCCAGAAATGATATCAAAGTAAGCACTGGCTATTAGGCTGGAGGTCAAAGGCAGATCATATATTTGACTAAATATTGGGGTAAAAGGCACCCCTTTGTGCATTTCCTGTTTAGGATTGAAATTAGGGCTGAAATTGAGCTTTTTAGATAGAAAGTATATTTTGAAACTACCTGATTTTGTGGTGGTGGTGGTATATTTCTGTTCTTTATAGACAGGGACATGGTTAAGAAAGTAGCAATTAACATACAGTTGATGTTTAATAAATATTTAAATAACAGTGGCCTGTAGTGGGCATCTCATCTTTTTTGAGAAAATGTCTTTTTGATTATTCCTATGTGGATTTGATGGAAGCCATATTTAAACTTTTGGAGTATTTACTCTGCATGAATGGAATATAGTATAAAGCAAGGTTAGCAAGAGGTTAGAGGTTTTCCTGTAAAGGGCCACATAGTAAAATATTCTATACTTTGCAAGTCATTTATTGTCTCTTGCAACTACTCCTTACAGAGGAAGTAGCCATAGAAATTATATAAGTGAATGGTTGTGGTGATGTCTGTATAAAATTTTATTTATAAAAACAGGTGGTATTATGATTGTTTATAGTTAATAATGTGTGATCTAAACCAAAAGCTTGTGTGATGACTGCCCTTGTACTGTTCACCATGTAAGAACTTATTCACTATGTAAGAATTCATTCACCATGTAAGAACTTGTTTGTTATGCTTCATAAGATTGGAGACTGACAAGAATTAGGCTTGAGATGGATTAATGATTGTGCATTGAACATTGACTCCCCTATACAGACTTTTATTGTTGTTAACAACCATTTGATCAATAAATATGAGAGATGCCCTCTCAAAAAACGAAACAAAACAAAACAAAAATACAGGTGGTAGGCCAGATTTGCCTGTGGGCTGTAGTTTGCCAACCTTTGGCATAAAGTATATCCTCATGAAAAATTGCTGCATTCTTGAAATAGAAAGTAATATAACTCTGATAATACAAGTCGGCTTAACGTCACTGGGAATTTGGATGGCCTAGTTAATAAGTTGCCCACCTTGTCTTGTCCTGCTTATGATTGTCTAAAATGCAGCTTGACTACTTAATAGCTAGAAAAGTTGGTTTATTTATTATCAGTGTGATTATCAGTCCATTTTTAAATTCCAGTGTCTTGGGGAAAACCCTTTTCAGATCTAAAAAGGCAACTTTAGAATAGTGGCTAACTCTCTGGTAATCAGATCAAAAAGGAAAACCAAGGGCTTTTTTCAGTGAAGCCTGTGGGTAGCCTTAGGCTGCATTAGTAGAAATGTTTATGTATGAAACCTTGTGTTCAGTCTACTGAGCTGTTGGAATATGTATTATTACTATACTGCAGATTAAGAACGGGATGTGCAAGAGAGTACTGTTTCATGTGAAATAGACTATAGTAACATATACTTTATGTATTTGGAGGTTACGAACACAGCTATCCAGAATGTATCTTAGCGCCTGAAGTAAGGCTTTTGACCAACTAGAGTAAATATCAGAAGTCATTCACCAAAGATTACATGTTTTATTTAAGGGGAATTTCTTAGGTTACCATCTTAAAATTAGTTCACTGAGTATATCACACAATAGGTCAGAAACAGCAAATTTGAAGTGGGGTTCAGGGGCTGTTAGAGACTTAATAATAGTAGCAAAATTTGCTAGCTGACAGCTTGGCTTTAAGGAGTAGAGTGAAAAACTACAATGCAGACAAAAGAACTCTTTAATTAGCAGTTTTTGTCCTCTCTTGTAAGGACCTTAGTGTACTTATAGAATAGTGTATTAATTGATGTATATTAATTATGCCTCTTAGTGTCAATAAAAGCTTTTTTTTTCTATTTAAGAAAGGAGGTAAGTATATCATATATTTTAGAAAGATTTTATTTTATGGCTAAAAAATTTAAAAGTGCTTTGTCACCCAAAGAGAGGGACGGATTTTTCAGTTATGTGAGTATGGGAAACAGCTTATTCCCAGATGCTTTTAAGAATCAGCCTTTTGATACACCTTTATCCTACAAATTCTTCTGTCCCTGGCTATTGTTATTTTTGGGTTTTGTTACTCATGCTTTTAGAAGTTGAGTTAGGTCAAAAGACATCAATTTTTCTTTGTTTTTCAATTGTTTGGATTACTGTTTGCCCTAGCAGACGTCCTTCTCATGAAGTATTCTGATAGTACTCTCCTTCCAGAGGAATCCAAGTAGTTAGAGTTTCGTATTAGTGTTTCTTCACTTCCTTACTCTCAAATATGAGGATCACTACTCCATTGAGTACATCCTCCCTTCCCCACAACAGAGAAGACCAGTAGCAAGGTGACATCTGACACTATGCTCCTTCTGTAGTAAGAACGAAACCAACAGACTTTCCAAATCTGTTCTTTGCTGTATACAGACAGGCCTGTTTTATAGGGAACAGCTTCTTTCCAGACCTTGTTTAGGACTCTAGACAATGTAAACATTTTAAAGAGATGTTTGGCTTTTAGAGCATCCAGCTTGTTTAAATTGCACTTTAAGAGCTCCTCTCCCCCATCCTATCTCCAGATTTGTTAAAAAAACAGAAGCTATTCATTTCAAATATAAAGTGATAGTTTGATTTTTCTTTTTAAAATAAGGGGAGTGCTCCATTATCCTTTTATATGGATCACAGAAGCTTTTTGGTCTGTTTATGGTGGTGCTAATTTTTTTGTGTGGGGATTTAACATTCCAGAATTTGGGAGCCAAACCTGATTAGCCATAATGAGTTAATATGTATGACTGATGGATTTTTTTCTCTCTTTATTACCAGAAACTGGTTGCTCAAATGAAGCAGGATCCACAGGTAAAATACTACTTTTATTCATTTAATTTATAAATTAAAGTATTTTAAAATAAAGTGACCATAAAATGCTAAAATATAGACCTATACTTAAATTTTAAAAACTATTTCATTTCGAACAGCAGTTATTTGTAGCACATTGTCTTCGTTTTTTTCAGGGTTTAGAGAAATCCAATCAATTATAACATAACTATGATTTCATCTTTGTTATTGTTATTTTGCTTTTATGTTAATTGCTCTGAGTACTTCAGAGAAAAAATTGTGAGTTAATACTCTTCATATAGTTTAAATTTCATTTTCATAAGGCACTTACTCAGAACCACAGTTTGAGGCTTTCTATAGTCTCAAAATTGTCAAATATGGCCCAGACCATTCTTATTTTCTCAGAATTTATAGTATAGATACAGTACAGAACATTTAAATATTTAATTCCACTATGTTCAGAGTAAGAATTTTAGAGTGATTTTTAAAAAGCCTTTAAATTTTTTTTAGTTTTCAAAATAATAATCCAGCAAATGTTACCTTTTCTTTAAATTCTCTTAGTTTTGGACTTAGGCATTTTATTCTCTATTCTTGAGAAATTTTTCTAATATGCTACTTACTGTCCTTGATGATTATATTTATTGTTCAGGCAGTGTCTCTTTTGCAGCCACCTTGACAGATTGGTTTTTTGAAGTGGGAAATATATTCACTTCTATAAATTTAACACCTAGTGGCCTGACTATTGTGTTTTAACATAATTCATTGATTTTGAGAGCTAGCCTTGATAGCTCTCACTTAACTCCTGTTTGATAGTTCCACTTCTTTGAGAACCTTCTTCATTTTTATTTATTATATATTATAACTTAAATTAGATTTAGGGAGCCAAGAAGCAGTAGACCTTAGATTAATAGATTCTCTTATATTTAATATGGTAAACTACATTAGCAGCAACAGAAATATCATTTGAAAAATTTAGCATTTTTGATGTAGCATTTTGATGTAGCTGATTAAGATGTAACAGAGCAGTCTTAATGCAAAAAAATCTGTGGGGGCAGTAAGATGTTGGACAGTCTTATGGGTGATCTCATTAGAAGGCCTTGCATCAAATACACTTAGAAAAAAAATACTTGGAGCAAAACAAGGGGTGGGGGAAGGAATATATGTGCCCTGAACCAGGCAGAAGACCAGGCAGGGTGAACTGAAAGAATTACATGTGAAATGATGTTGAAAACGTTAGTTTCTCACTGGGGTGTATTCAGTCTACTAGTAGGCTATCTTGCTGCATTAAGCATTTGAAAACTTTAAGTTTGGATTTTTCCCACTTGAGTAAAAGGCAAACATGCACAGTATATCTCATCTAAAATAGTATTCTTTTCTGATTCCTAGAATTTTACAATTGAGAAAATGCCCTGATAGTCACTGTGTTAATGTGAATGATACAGTGTTAAGACATTTGCAGCATTGATAGCTTTTCAGATCTAGGCTAAAATAACAAATGTACTCTGCTAAATAAAGGGGTGGGCAAGTAGAGAAAAACCTCTCATCTTTATTGATAATGCTGTTAAGCATGCATGCAGTGTATGTGTACTTTTAACTTCATTTTCCTGCTTTTGTCTGATTAGTGGAGCTTTAGATTTTCTGTCAACTGGTATTTTCTATAAAGAATAAGTATTTTAGTAGAAACGAGTACTATTACAAGGCAAGATGCTCAAACATAAAACTTCTTGTAATTTAAAACAGATCCAAAGTGACTGCCTCAGTTTTAGTGTTAGGAGCCCACATTTAGGATCTATGCATTAGGTGGTTGTAATATGACTACAATTTAATGCATGACAGATTTGATTGGCTAAATGCTTAAGGCTGCTTCATCATTTGTAATACACAGTATGCATAAAGTCTTCTTGCTACTATTCTGTTAACAAATGAAATATCTTTCTCACAGATATTTTTTCTTTCCAATCAGAATGCTGATTTAAAGAAACAGCTTCATGAACTCCAAGCCAAAATCACAGCTTTGAGTGAGAAACAGGTAGGGGCAAAAGCAGAGGGGAGGGACATATTTTTAACATTGTGTTCTAAAGATATATCTGCTCAAGGCTTCTAGGAGAACTGCTATTTTTCCTCATGTGTGAAAATAAGTGTGGGCAGCCAGACTCAGTTTTAATTTTGTTTGAGCTCTGTTTATCTATTTTTATTTTTGGTTGAAATCAGTCTCTAGAGTTTCGCATGGGTATATGTTCCTGGCAAATATCTAAAAGCAATGTAGAAGGCTGCTGTTAACTGTGCTAATTAAGCTCTATAGTTTAACCATAGGAGGAATAGGTAAAGAAATATAGTTGGAGTATGTGATAGAGAATCTTGTAGCTGCTAGATGTGCCTCGTTACCTGTTTTAAAGGCTTGAAATGACATTTAACTTACTGTAGAAAGAATGGTTGTAAATAGATGCTCTAGATGGAGGCTTGAAATGACATTTAACTTACTGTAGAAAGAATGGTTGTAAATAGATGCTCTAGATGGAGGTTATTGTCGTACCTTTGTTACTCTTTATTAGATATTGACCTACTATTATGTGAGGAAGCTATGGTGGAACCTTGTTAGGTTTATTCTATATAGGGCAAAAGAAGAGCATTTTGTTTTTTTTCCAAGGATGTCTGAAAAGTATTCGAAATTTATCACTTCACCAATTCAGGCAGCTCCTGCCACCAGATGGAGTGTGACAATTGATAGAACTATAAGGAAATGTCTATGGTAATCTGACAAAGCTTTCCTTTTCTTATTCCTTCTCACTCTTCTCCCTCTGGTTAAAATGAGCGGGTTTTCTATCTTGGATTAGGTGAATGTGTGAACCAAAAGAATAAAGTGATTTGTAATTGTTAGTTCATGCTAGTGACATCTTACTGAATATTTTTGACTAGTTTTCAATAATTTATTTTTATGTGACTTTTTAAACTTTTTTTAGTGCAATAATAGTAATGAGAATAATTTATCCCTGGAGATTTCGGATTGTGTTTGTGTTGTTTATTGGATAGTGTTTTCAGTTTAACTAAAGAGAGAAAGTTTGAGAAGTATGTGGAATACATTGGAATTGTTAGTGTTTCAGAATAGAATCTTTTTCCAAGCTAAGTAAACAATGGCTTCCCCTTCCCCACCCCACCCCCATTTCCCCCACCCCAGTTCTACCTCTATGTTCCCCCATCTTGTCTTCCCAGAGACAGGATGTATTTTAGATTGGAAAGTGCCAAACTAAAATTGAGAGGAGATGGGGTGAAGAACAATTTGTGAGGAAAAGTATAAACAGCTTTTTAGTATGTATTGGGCTGTGAAAGTGATTTGGTTTTCTAAAGTCACAATGATGTGTATTAGTGAAATTAGTTAGAATTCTGTTAGTGCTGAGCCTCCTTGTAGTTGCAGGGTTAGTTTGACAAGATGCCAATGAGGATGAGTCACTTCTGCTGAAAAATTCACGTGTTCCAGCAGGGGGTGAGACTGCTGTCACAAAGTTAAGACATCCTAGGGCTACGTTTGGAGACAGTGAGGCAATTAAAATTTTTTTCATATATTTGAAATTTCTGTTAGTGAGAACTGATGTAAAGATTTGTAACCATTATTTCTGTGTGTAACATGTATCTGTTACTATTTCTGTAACTTTTTATTCTTTAATTTTTTTTTCTACTAGGGACTGCAATAGAAAATTGGAACCATTTATGTTTAGTAAGACATTTCATCAAGTGGCAAACTGTCATCTTACTAAGTTTGGATTTTAGAAACTGGAGTTTGAAACAAGTGGATCTAGTAATTTTTATCAGGAAAACATTTACTATAAATGTACTTTAGGCATTTATAGTAAAGAAAACTAGAGTCAGAAACTGAAATGCAATCTTGGAATTCAAAAAATGTTTGCTTCCTGTTAAAACAACATTCCTGATAGAACAGAAATACATCATTTTTAGGTAAGAGAGTACTTTAAGGAACACAGCTATAAAGGTCAAAAGCTGGTCCTTCCTCAGATTTAATTCCAGCATGAAGCATTGATATTTAGTTAAAAATAGTTTTATTTTAGAGCAAACTCCTAATGCTGAATCCCCAGCTTTTTTTAATTTTTTAATTTTTTAATTTTGGTATCATTAATCTACAATCACATGAAGAACATTATGTTTACTAGGCTCCCCCCTTCACCAAGTCCCCCCCACAAACCCCATTACAGTCACTGTCCATCAGCCTAGTAAGATGCTACAGAACCCCTACTCATCTTCTCTGTGTTGTACAGCCCTCCCTGTGCCCCCCGCCCCACTCTACATGCTAATTGTAATGCTCCTTTCTTTTTCCCCACCCTTATCCCTCCCTTCCCACCCATCATCCTCAGTCCCTTTCCCTTTGGTGACTGTTAGTCCATTCTTGGGTTCTGTGATTGTGCTGCTTTGTTGTTCCTTCAGTTTTTCTTTGTTCTTATACTCCACAGGTGAGTGAAATCATTTGGTACTTGTCTCTCTCCGCCTGGCTTATTTCACTGAGCATAATACCCTCTAGCTCCATCCATGTTGTTGCAAATGGTAGGATTTGTCTTATGGTTGAAAAATATTCCATTGTGTATATATGCCACATCTTCTTTATCCCTTCATCTACTGATGGACACTTAGGTTGCTTCCATTTCTTGGCTATTGTAAATAGTGCTGCGATAAACATAGGGGTGCATATGTCTTTTTCAACTGGGCTGCTGCATTCTTAGGGTAAATTCCTGAAAGTGGAATTCCTGGGTCAAGTGGTATTTTTATTTTGAGCATTTTGAGGAATCTCCATACTGCTTTTCACAATGGTTGAACTAATTTACATTCCCACGAGAAGTATAGGAGGGTTCCCCTTTCTCCACAACCTTGCCAACATTTGTTGTTGTTTGTCTTTTCGATGGTGGTGGTCCTTACTGGTGTGAGGTGATATCTCATTGTGGTTTTAATTTGCATTTCTCTGATGACAAGCGTTGTGGAGCATCTTTTCATGTGTCTGTTGGCCATCTGAATTTCTTCTTTAGAGAACTGTCTGTTCAGCTCCTCTGCCCATTTTTTAATTGGATTATTTGCTTTTTGTTTGTTGAGGTGTGTGAGCTCTTTATATATTTTGGATGTCAGCCCTTTATTGGATCTGTCATTTATGAATATATTCTCCCATACTGTAGGATACCTTTTTGTTCTATTGATGGTGTCCTTTGCTGTACAGAAGCTTTTCAGCTTGATATAGTCCCACTTGTTCATTTTTGCTTTTGTTTCCCTTGCCCAGGGAGATATGTTCATGAAGAAGTTGCTCATGTTTATGTCCAAGAGATTTTTGCCTATGTTTTTTTCTA